CTTGGTCCGTTCCTTCGTACGTCACCTCAAGTTTGTCCCACATCTCCTTGGCGGTTGAGCAGCAGGAGATCTTGCGGTAGTCATCAGGATTTACGGCACAATAAAGCATATTTATTGCCTTTGCATAATTCTCGACCTTTTTGATGTCCTCGGCATCAAACTCGTCTTCGGTCTTGGGGATCAACTTGTCTCCGACTTTCTTCATCGGCACCTCTTCCCCGTTTTTGATAACCAACCATAATTGGAAGTTCGTGGAACGAATATAGATTCTCATCCGTTCTTTCCAATATGTATAATTGGTTCCATCAAAAAGAGGTGGCCGTGTGGTTGATTGCCCTTCACCTATTCCTGCATACAAATTTCTAGAAGAAGAACCCATGATCGCTTTACTCTCAAACGGTTAAGTTTGGACGCGAGTTAGGCTCTGATACCAATTGTTAGAAAAAGTGACCAACGCTAGAGGGGGGGTGAATAGCGTTTGATCGTAGAAATCGCAGGAATAAAAAATTAAGAACGTGAAACGTAAAGAGCGTAGAACGCGTAAAGGGAGCACACCAAGATTTATACTGGTTCACCACAACGTGTGGCTAATCCAGTCTCCCGAGAGACTCTCTCAAGCTACACTACTTCCGTTAAGCTTACGGGTGCTTAACAAACCGTTACAACCTGAGAACTCGAGTCCCACGAGCCTCAACAACACTTGCTCGGAGATACCGCACTCCAAGACTTCAACCCGAAGGAAAATACCTTTCCTTCGTACAACCAAGGGAAACAAGCTTCCTTAACGTGTATACAACACTAAAACACTCAAGAACAAGACTCTCCTTAAGAGTGGATATGAGTAAACTAAGAACGCTCAAGAACACAACACAAGCTTCACAAAAATGGCTCTCAAAAGCGAAGAATAATTAAAGAATGATTTGCAATGAAAGAGTAGGAGTTGTGAAGTAATGTTATGTGTAACACAGACCCAAAACACCCCATTTTATAGTGGAAAGAAAGGCTCCAACGGACCAACACATTTAAGGGGTGATTGGCACAATTTGTGGGTTTTGATTAAAATTGGATCTGCTAAAATTCACCTAGACAGCGCTGTCCTATGCTGGACATCGCTGTTCTAGGCTTGATTTTAAAAATTGGGAAGCAACGGTCATGCCAACAGCTATGTCCAACAACCCCTACATCGCTGTTTTGGCTGTTGACTTCCAAACAAGGAAAGTTTTAGCCTTAAATTTCTTCCAACGGTCAGGTCTCTACATCGATGTTCCATACTAGAACATCGCTGTTTGGGTTTGCCTTTGAGGATGGAAGTTTTGGCCTAACAGCGCTGTTTCTGGGTCAACATCGCTGTCCAAAAACTTTCTGCCAATGCACTATATTTTTGGCTTAGGTTGGACAGCGCTGTAGGGGAGCCTACATCGCTGTTCCAGAAGTTTCTGGGAGTCCAACCTTGGCTCAACAGCGATGTCTGATGTCCAACATCGCTGTTGGAAGACTTAACGCCAAACCATGTTTTTGGTTACCCAGGCCAGACAGCGCTGTTGATTACCCCAACATCGCTGTTGGGCTTGGTTTAGCCAGACCATGGTTGGTTTAGTCACGTCGTTAGCCGATGTCAAAAACGCAAGTTCTCCAAAATAAAAACCAAGTTTAGAAAACATTTGTTTATTGCATTTTGCTAAGAAATCAAGTAAAACATCTTAAAAACCACGTCATTTAGTTGAAAACCATGGCTAGCCAAGTTCGTGCCGTTTTGCATGGTTTTCACTAAACGACCAAAAACGGAAGGTGGTTTTTGAGGCGTTTTTGTTGGAGAACTATTTAAATATGCCCAGAAGTAAAAACCAGTTATAAAAAGTTAAAAACCACTTGGTTGGTTCGGACGCCAAAAACCGATGCCGAAAACCGAAAGCCGAACGCCGGTTTCTGAAAGCCGAACGCCGGATGGCTTGGTTTTTGGCTTGGGCGAACTCCAAGTGTTTTGACCCAAGTTTAAACTTTAAGAAAGGTATTTTTAAATATGTAAAGGAGTTTTTTTATGAATTAAGCCTAGAGAGCCAAGATTTGGAATTTTGTGCCGGTCTTGATCACATTAAGACCGACTCAATACAATTCTAGTTCTTCGTTCTTGATTCTGGGTTCTTGGTTCTCAAGTCATCATGCCATGTTCCTTCGCCTTAGTTTTGCTCACTTTAGCTTCGATATGTCGCGGCGGTTTGGCATTATAAAAACCTGTCATAAACGAACACAGTTTAGTACGACGAAGGCGTAAACCCGTGTTCCAACACGTCACGGCGGACGTCTTACCTCGGCCTCGTGGAAGAGGAAATGAGATCGCGTCGTGGAAGACGGATGTATAGGAGTGCGTCAAGATGGACGACTTACCTCGGCCTCGCGATAATATCATCGCGGACGATCTTCAATAGGGGTGGGCACGGGCCGGTCCGAGCCCAAATTTATATAAACCGAACTCGGCTTGTTTTTATTAAAACGGTCCGGGCCAGAACGAGTTTTCAAAATTTTAAAATTGGAACCGGACCTAACCCGACTTGTTTGAAACGGGCCGACTCCATGGGTCAACGGGTCCGAACATATCATAATACTAACTGATGGGTGTATTTCACCCATGACCGGTCAAAGGTCAGAACCGGATAGTTGACCGGTCAAAAAGGGAAAGCATGGAAGAGAGATCTAGATCGTCTGCGAAGGGATAACTGGTTGGCCAGAAATGTGACCGGTATACTTTGGATAAGTACACCGGTCAAACACCATCATTACCTGAATTCATCATGCGAAGTTGGCGAAACCATCCCTCGAGAACCAACCTGTACAGCTTTTAGAGATTGGAAAGTGTCGGCAGGGAGAGTCCAAAAAAGGACTTGGACTGAAGTGGTTGGCATTGCAGAGATGCTGAAGGAACATTTCCAAACCAGAACGCGACAAGGGGAGTGATTCCCCTCACAAGGCGACAGGGCAGCTCAAGGACGAAACCAGTTACCTCGCACCACATCAGCAGCGTGCCCCCACGTGGGCGCACGTGGTCCTGTCCCCCCAAGCCTAGTATATATACCTGTTGTAACCCTCAAAGAAGGGGATCCGAATTCACTCTCTCTAAACTCCCTTGTAAAAGTGACCGTGCATTCTCTGTTTTAATACAATTCGGGCTACAGGTGTTCCACCTAAAGTCTTACCGGTCATTCTGAGTGTTTTTACTTTCTTTACTTTACGAAATCAAGCCAACTATCCTAGACCCGGTCTAGTATAGCTTGACCGGTCAAGTAATTTACACCATCATTTTTGGCGCCGACCGTGGGACCGTTAAGGTTTCTTCTCTTCTAAACACAAACCTACCCACAAAAACACCACCCAAAATGTCTTCCAGCCAGCAAGTCAACGCTACCTCTGCTCAGGTGCAAGCTGCCACTGAAGGTACCAGCATCCCCATGGCTGTTAGCCTGCCGACCGTTTCCGCTCCGGTTTTGCCGTTGGGACCAAGCTCGGTCCCAACACCCAGCATGGTAAGCCCATTCACGGCCCCCGTCCCTTCCGCTGGACCGAGGGTCACTTTCCCACCAAGCATGACTCAGTTCATGAATGACCCAGCCAACCTGCAGGCCATCCAAGGCTTTGGCCAGGTCATGGCTATGTGCCAGCAGAATGGGGGGATGCCTTTCCTCCCTGGTATGTTTCCGTTCGCTCTTTCAGGTGCGGGAACCATGCCCCTACAAGCTCCGAAGGCGGTGTCTCCCTTCCAAACGCCGGTGCCGCAACCATCACCTTTCCTGCCGCAGCTAGTCAGCGCTGTGGCCCCCATCAACTTGGCAGGGGCGGTTAACGCCGCGGGGCCGTCGCGTCCCCCGCAAGGTATGAACCCGCTAGTCACTCCGGATGGTCACTGCGTCTCAGTCGAAATCGGAGACGACTAGTGGGACATTCCAAGGACCCACAAGAAGAAGAAGGGAAAGACCATACGCCCTGAAACTTCCCGAAACTCCGCCTTCGAAAGGCTGGGGATAGGGAAGAGTGCCGGAGGAAGTCAGCCAAGCTGAGGCTGGGGCAAAGCGTTGCCCATGTCAGCGCGTTTGCCCGGTTAGGTGAGGTGAGGGAGGCCGAGCCTGCCCGCACCCAACGCTCCTGGTCAAACCGGCAGGAGCCAGCCAGGACGAGGGCCTCTCACCAGGAGGAGGAGGCAGAAAGCCAACCCAGGGTACCGGTGGCTAACCGGTTAAACATCCCCAGTGAACGCGTCCAGCAGATGGAGGCAAAATTGGCAAGACTGGAGAAGAAGGTCGGGGAGAAGAATGACCGGGACAAGCCCCTCGCAGGGTCCCCGTTCACCATAAGGGTCCATCTGACACCTTTCCCGCGAAAGGTCAAGATAGATGCCCCAAGATTCACTGGGAAGGAAGATCCAGAAATTCACCTGGACTCCTTTAATCAGAGTGCAACCATGAACGGATGTACAGATGAAGAAAAGTGCCTCCTTTTCTTCCAAACTTTGCGAAATCGAGCTACTGAATGGTTCAACAAGCTTCGCCCAGGAAGCATTGACTCATTCAGTGACTTGGCCTCAAAGTTCAAGGCCAAGTTCCAGGAGAACTGCACTAAGAGGAAGAAGTTCACTTATCTTAGTACAGCCGGGCAGAGGGAATCCGAGAACCTCACCCAATTCCTTACCCGGTGGAAGGAAGAGGTAGACAAGGTGGAAGAGATGGATGACAAAACCGTCTTATCTCTCCTCTTGAGTGGCTTACGTGCTGGGGAACTATACAAGGAGTTCTGCTGGAAACCCCCGGCCACGTACCAAGAGGCCTATCACACTGCATGGGAGTTTGCTGAGGCTGAAACTCAACTCTGGGCGAAGAAGGAAGCCGAACATGGGTTCAAGCCCAAGCCGGTGAAGGTCAAAAGGGAAGAAGCACTGGTAACCAGCCGGCCAAGGCACCATTATGACCCTGTCGTCCGCATGGTCAACCCAGAAGAGTGCCAGGAGGTAAGAAAAGCACCGGCTCCCTACCCGGTCGTTCCTCCGGAAAATCTTACCGGTCAAACTGGACGGCAATGGTCGGGCACGTATTGTTCGTACCATCGGTCAGATTCCCATAACACTTCCGAGTGCAAGAGTGTTAAGGGAGTCATCCGGCAAATGATAGACAGCGGAGAACTGGGCAAAGATTATTTGCAGAAAGCCCAGGAGAAGAGTCACCAATGGGTAAGGCCATCTATTCTGGAGGATGACCGGGACAACGACCGGCAGAGGAATAACTGGCTAAAGGAGCGTCAACCTGCCCCTGAAAAGGAACACATCGACATGATCTTCGGCGGACCTGAGGGTGGAGACTCAGCCGCGCAACGGAAGAACTGGGTCCGGAGCATTTACGTTGGTGAGGTAAGCGCTGAACCGCCCAGGCGTAAACATGCTACGAGGGAGCCGATCGTCTTCACTGACCGGGATCTCCCTCCTACCGGTGAAGATCACAATGATCCATTGGTCATCACCATGGACATTAATGGGGTGGATGTCGCCCGGGTACTTGTTGACACCGGCAGCAGTGTCAACATCTTATACTTGGAGACTTTCCAAAAACTCAGGTTGTGTCGGACACAACTTGAGCCCCTAAAAACCCCTCTATCAGGTTTCACGGGAGACACAGTGGAGGCTGAAGGGTCCATAGTCCTACCGGTCGAACTAGGATCGGGCGAAAAAACTGTATGGAAGAAGATGCGGTTCATAGTTGTGGACATCAAATGCGTCCACAACGCAATCCTTGGAAGACCTGGCATCAATACGGTTGGGGCGGTAATTTCCATGCCTCACCTGTGCATGAAGTTCCATACTCCAGGTGGTGTGGGTGAGGTGAAAGGCGACCAGAGGAACGCCCGGGAGTGCTATGCCCGGGCAGTCAAGAAGATGACCAAGGGGGTCAATGTCATCTCCCAAGAGATCACAAAGGGAGAGACCCGGGAGAAATTGGAGCCCTAGGCCGAGACGGTGGAAATCGAACTTCACCCGGGTGATTCTTCAAGGATGGTCAGAATCGGAGCCAATCTCCTAGAAGACCTCAAGGCGGAGATTACACGGGTACTCCGAGAATACGCGGGCATATTTGCATGGAGCGTGGCAGATATGCCCGGAATCGACCGCTCAATCATCTGTCACCGGTTGGCAGTGAGAGATGGAATTCGACCGGTACGCCAGAAGAAAAGGTACCTGGCCAGTGACCGGCGGGACTTCGTCAAGAAGGAGGTGAAGGATCTCCTCAGTGTTGGTCACATTCGGGAAGTCAAGTACCCGGATTGGTTGGCCAACGTGGTTCTTGCTCCCAAGGGGGACACATGGAGAATGTGTGTGGACTACACGGACTTGAACAAGGCGTGTCCGATGGATTCATACCCCCTCCCCAGTCCAGATCNGCCAGAAGAAAAGGTACCTGGCCAGTGACCGGCGGGACTTCGTCAAGAAGGAGGTGAAGGATCTCCTCAGTGTTGGTCACATTCGGGAAGTCAAGTACCCGGATTGGTTGGCCAACGTGGTTCTTGCTCCCAAGGGGGACACATGGAGAATGTGTGTGGACTACACGGACTTGAACAAGGCGTGTCCGATGGATTCATACCCCCTCCCCAGTCCAGATCAAATGGTGGACAAAACTGCGGGGTGCGAACTCCTAAGTTTCATGGATGCTTTCAAGGGCTACCACCAGATATACATGGCCAAGGAGGATGAAGAGAAGACGTCATTCCTCACACCCGAAGGAACCTACTGTTACCGGGTAATGGCGTTTGGCTTGAAGAATTCGGGGGCAACCTACCAGCGCATGGTTAACAAGCTCTTCAAGCCGCTGCTGGGAAAGACCATGGAGGCGTACGTCGACGACATGCTGATCAAAAGCCAGGTATCCCTCAACCACCCGGCTGATATGCGTGCCACATTTGATATCATGGCAAGATACAACCTCCGGTTGAATCCCAAAAAATGCGTCTTCGCGGTTCGTTCCGGGAAGTTCTTGGGATTCATGGTGACCAAGAGGGGAATAGAGCCCAACCCGGAAAAAATACGGGCTATCACTGAAATGCAGGCCCCCACATCTGTGAGGGATGTCCAGAAGTTGACCGGTCGTCTAGCGGCACTCAGCCGTTTCCTTTCCCGGTCAGCTGAGAGGTCCCTGCCTTTCTTCAAAGTCCAAGGCCAACACTTTTGCATGGGACGAAGAGTGCCAGAGGGCATTCGAGGAGCTGAAAGAGTACCTAGTGTCGGATATTGTTTTGTCTAAACCCCTGCCGGGTGAAACTCTGTATCTGTACCTGGGAATTTCCCCAAATGCTGTAAGCTCTGTTTTAATAAGAGATGATGGGGCACAAAAGCCTATTTATTATGTGAGCAAAGCACTAAACGGAGCTAAAAGTAGATACACGGCGATGGAAAAAACAGCATACGCGCTTTTCACCCGGTAGAAGTCTTGACTGACCAACCGCTGGGTGCAGTGTTGCGAAATTCAACATCCTCCGGGAGGATGGTGAAGTGGGCGATGATGTTAACTCAATTCAACATTGAGTACCGGCCGAGATCAGCAATCAAAGGGCAAGCCCTTGCGGACTTCCTCGTGGAAATGACCGGTGTAACTCCAGATGCACCGGTCGACAAGCCTACCGAGCAGTGGTGGGAGATGGC